ATCTCGTTCTAGAAAACGGCTATCACTTGATCGTCAGGGTCTTATTCCCGTCGTATTTTATCTTATACACGGGCAATGCTGTAAGACTGCCTACCTACTCCGTACGGGGCAGAATCACAATCATTAAGCCAAGACAGGTCCTATTCGGGCGTGATTGATCTCGTGTTTCACAGCTTGCGTAAGTGAAAGAGTAAGCTCACAACTAACAACAATTAATCACTCTCACAAAATGCGAGTCCGAGAAACAAAATTGATCGATTAATTTACCATAATAGGCATCATTCAAGCGCAGTTTATTTAGGTCGCGTGTGGCTTAGAGCTTAACATCCTTGCCTCGTTCCTGATTCGTATCCGCTGACGTCGTTGTTTCAACTTCCCTCCCCCACTAACATTAACCACTAAGTTAACCGCCGACCTCTTTTATCTTCAACGCATTATCTATAATAACCTACAAGCCTCACTCTTCACTATCAAATGATCATCCAAACTTGGATCTACTCTCAAACCTCTCAATACCTGTGAGAAGCTGCCATGGCAGGCATTGTTGATGAAAAAGCTGCTGCGGGTCGGCAGCATCAACCCCGCGATGGCGATAACACAAACACAGGGGCTGTAGCCTCAGACGACCTTCAGTTACCAGATATCAACCCTGCTGAGGGAGATGGAGCACCACCCCCTTACGGAGAGAATCATGATCAGGTTCATTTCTCACAGCCTGGGTTTGACGCTGGTGCAGCGATAACTGGTACATAACATACCATATGCCTCTGCATGTGAAACATATAAACTAACCCGCGTCATTCTCTAGGCGATGGTCGAGTCAATATTAATATCAATGCTAAGAACAGGAGACTTACAGACCTTCTTGCTCCAACTTTGCAAGGTCAACTTGCACCTGAGCCTGAACAACCTGAGCTTCCTCCTGCATATATCCCTCCCAGTCTGGGAGGTCTGCCCGGACAAACACCACCACCCAAGCTCAATGTCGTCGTACAGATTGTGGGATCTCGTGGTGATGTTCAACCCTTTGTTGCGCTGGGAAAGGTTCTGAAGGACACCTACGGACACAGAGTTCGGATTGCTACTCATCCTACTTTCCAATCCTTTGTTGAAGAGAATGGTCTCGAGTTCTTCAGTATTGGTGGCGACCCTGCCGAACTGATGGCATTTATGGTCAAACACCCCGGTCTCATGCCTGGTTTCGATGCCATCACAAGTGGCGAAGTAAGCAAACGCCGAAAAGGTATTCAAGAAATTCTCATGGGATGTTGGCGATCTTGTATCGAAGGAGGAGACGGTCTCGGTCCGCCTCCAAAACCACATGCCTCAAATGCTCCATTGGACGTGTCTTTGGAGGTGCCAGGCGGACCTGGTCAAGAGCCCTTTGTTGCCGATGCTCTCATCGCGAACCCTCCTAGCTTCGCTCATGTTCATATTGCTGAAAAGCTGGGCATCCCGGTGCACATGATGTTTACGTGAGTTTCTTGCCTTGATGCAATGATGCTGAATACTGATTACCCCTTTAGTATGCCTTGGTCCCCAACACGAGCCTTTCCTCATCCTTTGGCCAATATCCAGTCATCAAATACAGACGACGTGATGACGAACTATATGTCATATACTCTTGTTGAGATGATGACATGGCAGGGTTTGGGGGATGTAATCAACAGGTTCCGAGAAAAGGCACTTGACCTTCCTCCACTTTCGCTGATCTGGGCACCTGGACTTCTTGCAAGACTCAAGATCTCCTGGACATATTGCTGGTCAGTTCTTCTAAAGCATTTCAGGGATATATCTAATTTGGTACAGGTCTCCGGCATTGATTCCCAAGCCCAACGATTGGGGACGACATATCGACATTGCTGGCTTTTACTTTCTCAACCTTGCTTCCTCATACACCCCTGATCCAGACCTTGAAGCATTTCTCCGAGATGGCCCACCTCCTGTTTACATCGGATTCGGATCTATCGTTGTCGATGATCCCAATGCCATGACCGAGATGATCTTTGAGGCAGTCAGACTCTCGGGCGTCAGGGCATTAGTCTCCAAGGGCTGGGGTGGGCTGGGTGCCGATGATCTTGGTAAACCTGATGGCGTGTTTATGCTTGGCAATGTTCCCCACGACTGGCTGTTTGAGCACGTCTCATGCGTGGTACATCACGGTGGTGCTGGAACCACTGCCGCTGGTATCAAGGCAGGAAAACCTACTCTTGTGGTCCCCTTTTTTGGTGATCAGCCATTCTGGGGTGCTATGATAGCGAGAGCAAATGCAGGCCCCGACCCTATTCCATACAAGCAGTTGACAGCGGAGAAGCTCGCCGAAGCCATCAACTTTTGCGTCAAACTCGAGACTCTAGAGCAGGCCAAGGTGCTGGGCCAGAAGATCAGAGAAGAACGAGGAACCGATGTGGGTGGTAAGAGCTTCCACGATCATCTGGACACGGACAAGTTGCGTTGTACTTTGGCACCAAGCCGAGCCGCTGCATGGCGTGTAAGGAGAAGTCAAGTAAGGCTGAGTGCGTTTGCGGCTGCAGTGTTGGTTGAGCAAGGCTTGCTGCAATGGTCTGACCTAAAGCTGTAAGTCGAGCTACGAAAACTGTTCAGGGTTGAGCTAACATGTACAGATACCGTATGACAGAGTACAACACAGAGGAACAGCCGACTGACCCAATCTCTGCTTGCACGTTGTCACTTGTCACCGATATAGGAGGAATCGGAATGGCAATCGCCGATATGCCCAGGGAGCTTTTCAAGAGCATGTCGCAGCCCAAGAAGAAGAACTCAACACAAGGAGAAGCGCAGGATGCCGCCACCCCTCTAGCACCAGGAAGCGAGACGTCACTCCCCGTGCCTCAGGGCAATGAATCGGAGAAAAGATCAGCACCTGCACCTAGTGTTGCAGACACAGAGACTTTGGACTCTACGGTTCCTACTGCTGCTCACTCCAATACCTCGCAGCCAGCTTTGAGCGATACAGCATCCAGCGTCTCTCGTCCTTGGTCTCCAGGCCAATCAAGTACCCAAGGATCGGTCAATGACAAATCTTGGAGAGAGCAGATCAAAGAAGCGGCTAGCAAACAGCAGAGACGTGCGTCGCCTGTCAACTACGTGAATGCCGCCGTCGGTACTGGAAAAGGGGTTGGTCGAGTTGTGACCACTGGTGCCAGAACACCAATGAACTTCTGCCTTGGACTAGCCAGAGGTTTCAGAAACATGCCAAGGCTGTATAATGACGATACTATTCGCCCGGTCGAGAAGGTAACGGGAGTTGGTTCTGGAATCGTAGTCGCAGGCAAGGAGTTTGGTTATGGTCTGTTTGATGGCGTTACTGGTCTGGTAACACAGCCTTTGAAAGGTGCTGAGAAGGAAGGAGTCCAGGGGCTGGTCAAAGGCTTTGGCAAGGGTATCGGAGGTCTGATTGCGAAGCCAGCAGCCGGTAAGTTTGTTGTCGAAGCGTTGAGAATGTTGTACTGACACAAAACAGGTTTCTGGGCCATCCCAGCTTACACCATGCAGGGTGTGAATGCAGAGGTCTCCAAGTACTTTGCCAAGAGTGTCCAGAACTATATCACCTCGTCGCGAGCTACCCAAGGTCAGCACGAGATGCAAGAGGCAACACCAGGTGAAAGAGATGACGTCGTTCAAAGATGGAATAACGTCAAGTTTGACCTCAAGAACTTCTATCAGTGGAAGAGAAAGGAAAAGGTTGCAGGAAAACGCCCTGAAGAGCCCCGGCTTGACAGCTCAGAGGCTGGGTTTGAGCGGCCACGTACCGGATGGCGACATACCAAGAAGATGTCTTTTGAAGAACGAAAGAAACTCCACGCCGACAAGGATGCATGGAAGAGGGGATTTCTGGACGCCCCTGTCCCACAATCAAACGCAAGTGATGCTTCAAGTATACAAACGAGCTCATCTGAGGATCCCGAGCTTGAAAAGGCCATTCGGGCGTCAGTGCTTGAGACATCTCGTGGCAACAGTGAGGAAGACGCCCAGGTGGAGGCAGCTATCCGTGAGAGCATCAAGGCTGTTCGGCAACAAGTTGGGTCAAGCGAGGCAGGCCCGCTTCCTTTGAAGGATCCGTCCATTTTTGAAGATGCCGACTATCAAATCACAGACGAGGAGTACCAGGCTCTTGTCGAGCAGGCGATCCAGCAGAGTCTAGGTAACGATGTGCCGTTGCCCGACTATTCTGATGTGCCAGAGCTTGATGCAACGGATACTGTGTCTCAACCTCCCGCCCAGACCTCCACCCAGGAAGACGATGCGGAGCTCAAGCGAGCCATTGAAGCCTCCAGGAACCAACCTCCGCCGCCACTCCCACCGAGGGAAGAAAACGATGATGAGTTTGAACGGGCCATTGCGGCGTCGAAAGAAGCTATGGAACAAGAAAGCAATCAGCGGTCTGAGGAAGATATCGTGATGGAGTACATCAAGCGACAGAGCTTGGCGGAGGAAGAGTACAGAAAGCAGATGGCAAAGGGGAAGAGCGCAGCGGGCGCTGGCGATGACGATGACGAGGAGTTGAAGCGGGCGATGGAGGAGAGTTTGAAGATGAATCGGGGAGATGCATCAGGCCCATCAGGAAGTTGAGGGGGTAAACGCAATAGACGATGTGAATTCGATAAACCTGCAAGATACTAGGATACCCGCATTAAGCTCGAAACAAATGAATCGTACTGTTTGATATTATGTCCCTATTTGTGCAAACGACCACGTTAGTGTATGTGTACACACATCTTGTCATTGGTTTGGTTTGGCGATGGTAGATTATACAAACACTCAGCCGACGTGCATATACTAGTAATTCACCATGTAATCCCTGTCTCTGTATATTGACCTCTCGGACAGGGGATAGCAAGGCCAGAAAAAGGAACATGTAATTCAATCAGGGCTCCCTCTCAAATCGACTGCCTTTTCAACTTGAACATCTCGTTCACCAACTTGCATCACAGCTACCATATTCAATCATACCTTGCTCAACCAAAACGCAAGTAGAGATGCCTGAACAACAGAGCGAACTGGAAAGAATACGTGTAAGTGAAATACATTCGCTCAGAGACTGGTGATTCCACCACTGCCACCCTTGGCTCTGTTGGAAATATGGGCAAGCGTGACGATTTCTGAGCGTGTCCGGTCCTTATCCGCGTTCTTTGAAAAGGCCCAGAGTCGAAGAGAAGGAGAAGGAGGATAAGGCCGCCACAGACAAGGAGTTGAAGGCTCTGGAGGTCAAGATCAAGGCGTTGGAAGAGAAGTGGCTGACAAACAGTGAGGAGATGCAGGCTCTGAAAAACAAATATGAAGAGCTTAATTCAAAGGTCGATGCTCTTGATAGGGAGCTGAGAGGTCGGTCCATCTATGTGGTCCGAATCTAAGGATGGGGAGCCCGTGTCGTTCGTCTCTGAGATCTTGAACTGGTCTCAGGGGATCCGAATCGTATTGGATTGGACTAGTGGTATGTCTTATTGAGTAGTAGTTAGTTACTAAGTCAAATTGAGAATCTCTTCTGTCATTTACTTATCGTCGACGTGTTATGGGACCTTGGATGGGAATATCTGAACCGGTCGAGCTGAAGACATTGGGCAGTGTGTGTCGAAGGGCCTTCTGGGTAGTGGATCGAGGGCCTGTAATTACACCATATGTTAGCCTGAGAAGAAGAAGAACAACGTCTATATGCATATACAGTCCCAATAGACGTCTATTTCTGCTGCTGTAAAAGGAGTGATCGTCTGTATTGCAGTGTAGTGATCTTGTATATGTCGAGAGGGACAATAAGTCAGGTAGACATACGTTTGCCCTATATTAGATAGAAAATGAAAGATTTTGGTGGAAGTAAAAGCTATTTACTCGGTGTTTGGCAGTGATGGCGGCCTGGCAGGCCAAATTAACTAGTGGATGGGGTGCCTTTATTTCTCCTGTACCCCGAGTCTCTCTCCTCTTCATCACGATCCACTCCCCATTTTCTCTTCACTCAAAGCAGCCTCCCTCATGAGATTCAGTCTCGGTTCGCTACAATGAGTGGTGATCCTTTGTCGAAACGTTTGCCGCCTGAGATCGACGAGCTCGTGAGTTGTCCCCCTCTTCACCCATTCTCTACTCACCTCGAGCTGACATGGCCGATTCAGGAGCCAGCGGCTCGTAGATTGTGGAGCCATAAGAGGAAGTTAAAGACTTCATATGATGATATCTTCTACCGTCCGCCCGGTCATGTCGTTGACAACACTACTGGCGATGATGCTCCTGCGAAGAAGAAGAGGCGCACCGACAACTCTTCTAAGGGCAAGCCACGCGTTACTCCTTGCACAGGATGCATCTTGAGAATGGCCGAAAATGGACCTGAACACGTTTGTTGCTATACAGATTGTATGTTGCTCTCCTTTCCCTCTCACTGCCTGTGCCGATATCAGTCCTGACTCCTATCGCCAGCCAAGCTCGACGGTCCCAGCTGCTACGACTGCGCCCGCAACCGCCGTGAATGCAATCAGGTAAACTCCGCCATCCTCTCCTACTTGAGGATGCCCTCTAATCTTGTTTTCCAGCCCGTTGGAAAGGCTGCTAAACTCGGAGAGGCCCTCCAGAAGATGGCACTCGGCATCACTAACGGCAACACTGTAAGTTTAAGACCAATCCTGACGGTGCTTCCCCGACTTACCCTTCTCAAGAAGTCCTATGAATGGTCTACAAAGATGGAATGGACTAGAAAATCCAAAGAAGCCAAAGCATCTGTCAAGGCGATTCAGGAGACGCCTGGTGTTGCTCCTGAAGGAAAGTTTCAGAACCGTTCTGAGGAGTCTAAGCCCAGGTCTGCTCCCGACGGAAAGGTGCCTCACACTGAGAGAACTCGTTTCCTTTCAAACAATCCTACACCTATCATCAAGTCTGAGCAGCACGACGTGGTTTCTCCCCAGGGCATGTCCGTTCCCGGAAGTGTTACTCTCCCTCAGCTCCAGGACATTCCTCGCTACGGCCCTCCACCCCTTGAAAGCCAGCTGCAGGGCTCGATCGCTCGGCTCGAGGTGACCATGAACCGAGTCGCCGACAATCTCGAAGCCAACAACAGCCTTCTGCGACAGCTCATAGGCCAAAGCGTCAAGAACACCAACGATCTCCTCGAGGTCAACCGGGAGAACGGCGCTCGCCTCGACACGAACAACAAACTTTTGCGCCAAATGCTTGATAAGACCGGTCCCTCTAAAGAAGGACCTGAGGTGGATCTCCTGACTTTTGAGTGATCTGCGGCGTCAACATCGGTCCTTTGACTTGTTTATAGAGAATACATATCAGGTGTTCCTATACTGTGTTTATCTTACTGCTTTGTGAACTGATCCAATCTATTTACTACCCTGCCAAGCCAGCCTCGGTCTACTAATCAGCTCGACCACCTTTGGACCATCATCAGAATGTATGCCTCATTGAGCGAACAAGGCATATCCGTTTCATCTTTTGATATATGAAGAGAAGCTGGAATTTCTTGATATTTTTTTCCATCGAGTCCCAAACAGTATCTAGGTTTTCGTCTATTAAACACCAATAAATAGGATCCAGGCAGTGTAAGAGTTGGTTAACAGCCATAGAGGTGTCAACAATGATCTAAGTCGTCACCAACAATAGATACATATTCAAATAGACAGCTAAGTACATCCTAGGCCATAAATATAAAATATATGATTTAATCTTCATGCAATTACAAACTGAGGGGAAATCTACCCCTGATGAGCAGTCTGCGAGGCCAGTCGGAGTGATGGTGAAATACGATAGTTGCTTTTTGTAAGGCTGGCGACCTCTAGCTACGGTACCTTAGGCTACGAGAGCTACCTTAAACCAAGAGCAATGCACCATAAAAGAGCGTTTAGCCCTTCAGCAAATGCAATGACAGCTACAGAATTGTCGACGATGTAGCCCCCGGCTTAGATTCTATAATTTGAACGAGACGGCAAGCCATGCCAAATGTTCAGCATACATTACATACACTCAGCATAGGTCTCATTCTTTTGCGTCAAAACAGTCAAAGTCCAGAATGTCGGTTCGGACCCATTTTCCCGAGATATAATACAAAGGCTCCCCTCATAAACCGCAATACAACAAACAAAATTTCCAGTGTGGCCGTATTAACCCCATTGCAGATGGCGCATCCTCTCGTCTGTGAGAGGTCCTACTCCATAAAAAAGCATCCCCCCTTCTCTTTGAGTTTCCCCTTCTTCGTCACGCAATTTAGCTGGAGAACTTTCGGGTAATCTTGGCGATAACTGAAATAGAGTTAGCACGCACAATTGATGTTTGCGGGAGTAGAGGGGTGAAGTACTGTGAAGAGCAACGACGCTGAAGATGAAGACAAGGGACAGAACGAGAACGACAACGGGGTCGACCTTCAGACCGGGAGACTCATCGGTGTAAAGTCCTGTCGAGTTTGTTAGTACAGTCGTCCAATGGCTTTATGTCCCAATTCTCGAGGCAAAGGGCAACGTACGCAGCATGGTGCTGCTGGAACCACCGGCGCCAGCGGCGCGAGTGCTGCTTGGTCGAGCATTGGCAATCTTCTCCTTCTGGTCGGCAGCAGCGCGTCGTCGGATAGCAGTACGGGGACCACCAGGAATAGCAGGGGATGAGGGACGGCCGATGTTAGCACCGCTGGCAGCAGCGCCGCCGTTGACGGGAGAAGAAGGGCGAGGAGAAGACTAAGAAGAGAATATGTCAGCAAATCGATGTTCTTGAGTTAACATTCGAGCTCAGTCGCAATGCGACACTAGCTTCAATTGAAGTCGTGGGAGTCAAGCAGTCATACCATTGTTGAAGAATTAAACCTGGAGAAGGAGGCGTGACAAAGGAATCGCTGCAGGATTCCGAGAACCTAAGGCGCGAAGGAGAGAAATAAAGGAGAGGATGGTTTGGTAGTTGGACGTTGATGGAACCAAGATCGAGAGAGACGACACGGGGACTAAATTAATGGAGGTGTTGTGCAATTCCCCCCCCGTAAATGGAGCACCCTGTTTAGGGAGTTAGTTGAGGCCACCTTCACCAGAAAGAAGGGGACGCGGTGCTATGATTTTCCGGTGGCGTTGGCGTCCGAGTTAGAGAGCTCCAGCCTCTTCCAACGTTAGGTCAGGGACCACAGGGAACAGCTCTCTCCACAATATGAGCTGTAGGCTCCACCACTACAAGCTAGCGACCATGCGATAGTTTGCCAATTCAAGTCAAGCTTCAAAAAGAAAACATGTGATTTATCCAATTCAAAAAAAAAACACCATCATTTTTTTGTTGTTAAGAAATTTTACAATTTAGTGAGACTATGTATGGGAGAGATGGCTGTAGCCTCTACACCTGTTGATCCTATCATTTAGTCAGGCGGATTGGATATCAACGACAAACGCTCTCTTGCTCGCTTCCGAGTCCGCTAGCAGACTCGATATGAATGTATCAGGGGGTGGTGTATAATCAAAAAAAAATAAACAACAACGACAAGATGAAGAATAAGAAGCGGTAGCAAAGACAGAAACCATAAGACAAAGGGAATCAAGATAACAAAAAACATTCCGCGCATCGCTGGCGCGTCATCCATACACTCCACTTGCCCATATCCTCCTCCAGCTCTATCATCCCCAGGAGATGGTAAGACAGGTTTTTGGCTCTTCTTGTGAGACTGCCTGTTGCTTTGGCCCAGCGTATACTGCACACGACATCCTACCCGTCATTCCTCTCCGTCCCTAGAGATGAAGAGCCCCTGATATGTGTCCCGTTGCCTCTCCTGATGCTGATCCATCTTTTGTGCTTCGAATCTGTGAGATGTAATGGCAAAGCCTGCTGCAAGAGGCCTCTGTGCTGATGCCGACCAAAGACCGCCAGGTATCTTTTGTATAAAAGGAAGTTGGAGCGTAATGGTAAGGTCCGTTTCGTTTCGTTTCGTGCCACCCGCTCAATTATGTATGATTAGACAATAGTACATCTACACCAGGAAACGAAAGCTCTCAACCAAACGCCTTCCGCTATGATGGCAACTCTGCAGATCAAGGGTTGTAGTTCGAATCGTTGAAAAGTGTTTTTGACAAAGTAAAAAAAGTTGTTTTATGAAAGGTTCATGCTTCAGAGAGTGACGTCGAGGACAAGGCTGACATCGGCCACGTTGGGCCCTGCCAAGTCTTCGAGAACGGGTATCAGGTCTAATAGCTCGTTGTCGTGCGCATCAGAGAACCAACTGCTGATGGGGACGGCGTGCTGTGGGTGGAAGATGTATGAGGTGGGCGAATTATCAATGATGATGGTATCCTTCAGGTCACGTCCAACTTGGGACAGGTCCTTGACATAGTTTCCTTGATGGTTGTAGCAACTCTCACGGAATAGTCTATGATGAACGACCTTGTGAATGTCGAGCTGGTCCAATAACGGATCTCCATACTGCAGATTGTTAGTTTGCTCATTCATCATCCGTGATTGGACAGACTCACCTTAGAAACAGATGCTGTAAAGACAACAACTTCGTAGAGCTCACCGACTCGCTTCATGAATTCGTCGACGCCGGGTCGCTTGATCACGTAGACATTGTGGTAGTTGCCCTCAATCTCGACAGGGATTGTGAAATCGGCCTGATGTAAGATCTGCATGATAATTAGCGCATATCCCATGATCCACCTTTACTCAAAGCATACCTTGAAAGAACTGTGGACAAGAGTTTCGTCAAGGTCGAGAACAAGACACTTTCGACCCTTGTGCTCCGGGGCAATGGGGGGCAATAACCACTTCTGAGGCTCGGGTGCTGATGGGCCAGCGTCTGTGAATTGGCTGGGTGCCACGACAGCCGGACCAGGACCTGGGGGTGGGGGAGGAGGTGGTATCGTCCTTTGAGCTGGGGCTTCGACTGCAGGGGCCAATGGTGCCTCTTCTGGCTCTTCAGTGGCAGCATCTTGCATGTTCACATCACCGTCATTACCCGTCTTGTCTGCGACCTTTGGCTCCTCTTCTGTGGGTGTCGGCTTGGGGGGCTCCACTGTCACTGCAGGAGGAATCGATTGCTTCGATTCCCTGTTGGCTTGCTCTGTCGCTGTGGTTTCGTTGTTGGCTGAGCCTGACGAGGTAGCCTCGTCCTTTGGCTCCGGTGCGGATACGGTTGCTTGAGGTTCTCTCTGGGAGGCTGGTCTGGGCTGTTCCTGGGGAGTGTTGGTTCGTGACCTTGCGGAAGTTGGGCGCGGAGGTAGGACGTCAAGCTTGTGCACGTTTTCGTTGTTATCCTCGTTTCCAGCTGGGCCCTCGGGGGTACCACAACATCCAAGAAAAGCCAACAGGCCACCACGGCTCTTCTTCTTCTGGGCGGGGGCGACAGGAGAGTTTGGCTGAGTGTTTGCAGCAGTGTTTGTGGGTTCAGTCTCGCCGCCTGTCCTGTTGCTTGAAGTGCTTCCGTTCCGTCGTCGCGCACGGAGGCTACCTTTGGAGTCTTTCGATCGACTGCCGATGCTGTTCCGGGGGTCGCTGACTGTAGCCCCACTCAACCCCGTAGATGTTGGTGACGATTGGTTCCGCTGTGATGATGATCTTGATGGGACCTTAAGGAGACCACGACCTTTCTTGGAGCTCGCTCCCCCTTCTGAAGATAATTGAACCTTGTTAGACATCTCAGCATCGGCAGAGTTCGCCTGGGGCTGAATTTCGTCGTTCGGGTTTGATTGTAGCTTGTCTGACATGTTTGCTATTATTCTGTGAAATTGTCAGCTGGTGTTTCTTTGTAACTTGTTGTAAAGGATCGTGAAGCAGGTCGTTGTGAATAGAGACTATTAATGGATCGGGAGTGCAGAGAAACGGGTTCCTGTGTCTGATGCAGCAAACAACTCGTTCCAGCACAACTGCTCCCTCCGCGCAACGAATTTGAAAACAGATTCCTGCTGAAGTCGTACTGTCCCATCGATCGCGCAAGGTCTTGTGCAGGCGCGCGAAGAATGATAGGTAACTCACGTCGTTGACCACGGCCAAGCAAAACCAGCTTATTCTATAACCCCTAACTCTTTCAAATATGGCCTATCGAGGCCTAAATCGCGACAAGAAACGAAGCAGTTCGGAGCGGCGAGTGTGAAACAGTCGACGGGGTATACAGGCGAAGAGGAAAAGGGCGACGGTGGGAAATTACGGCGCGTTTGGACCGAGGCAGGGGAGGCTGGAAGTCAAACGGCACCGAGAATCGATTATGAAGCGAAGCTGTAAAATCGACCAAAAGGGTCGCGGAAGTGAACGAAGGAATGAATGAATTGTCCCAATCGTCGAGACGGCCGCAGAAGTCAGGAAACCTGATCGGGGGATTGCGTCGGTCGGGGATGGAGCTCGCTCGGTGTGAACGAGGAAAGACGGAGGACGGGCGGAGGAGAGAGCCCAGTGGTATCCGTACAGTAGGTAAGGCGAAAGCGGATCGGAGGCTGAAAAAGACTTGGGCTGCTGGGCGCGCAAGCGAAATGATTGCCTTTAAGATGGAGCTGAATGAAGAGGAAATTGGGGTGGGAAATGGAGAAAACCAGAGCAGAACCAGCCAGGTGCAGCAGTTGCAATGCGCGCAGGGGGCTTGCTTGTCTTTACTTTCTCTCTTTTCCTCCCTGGTCAGGTCAGGATAGTTTATTACAGATGATGAGAAATGGAGAGTGGAAAAGGTCAAGGTTGGTGAAAGGCAGGCGGCGGCGGCGACGGCGACGGGGTGCCAGCGACAGTGGGAAGATGTGCTGGAAGCCGGGGGTGCTATGCACTGGAAACAGTGAGCAGCAGGGTCGCTGGGGATAGTGGAAGACTGTGAGCCTGTGAGATGTCTCTGAGAATGGCCGAACGGGATGGGGCTCGACTTGGGCTTGACTGGGGTGGATTAGAGTAAGAAAACTAAGGACCTCGATCTTGGACGACAGAAATATGTGTGTAAATGGTCATGTTTCCAATAGGCTTTCTGATGAGTTTATTTTGATACCCCCTGTCAAGGTCTGAGGTTTTCTTGCTCCCAGAGGCTGGGGTGGGTTGGTTTGGGAGGTGTGAGTGGAGTTTGACTCGAGATTAGCACTCCGGGAGCATCCAGTGTGGTAGGGGAGTATCGTATACTGTCTCTCTTTACTCTACTGGCACTGTATTTTGAGCACTAAGGACTGCGAGCAACACAGTCTAAAAATGCCACTCTACAACACCTCACAATAGCGTGACAGAGCACCCCCTTGTCTCTCATCTCCGCTAATAATGGTGCCCGCCAAGCTCATCTTAACCACCCTGTCCTATGGCTGGCTAAGGCCCGCTCATGGCTTGGTGCGGCGCCTAAGGACCCTTGTCCTTGGTGACCTTATACATGTTCCTACATTACTTTATGTCGACTCTGTCAAGTCGAGGTGAGAGATCAGAACATGAGATGTGAAGACCGCACTGCACGAAACAATCTGTAAAGAGCCATGGCCATCAGAAGCCATCTTCCGGTCTAAATGCCCGCCGTAGACTAGCCGGATAATGCTCCGGTGGGAAGTTAGCAGACAACCAAGAGCGTTTAGGTAGTCATCCTGACCACCAACAAGGAATAGTGCCCTTTTCTCTAACCCATGTCCTCGATCTTCCAACAGTGGGCTTTTCTTTAGCACTCTCACCAGAACAAAAAAAAGGAGCTTAATTTCAAGTGCTGCATAAACAAACAGCTGAAAAACTTCACTCGGATTGATGTTTTTCGTTAACCAGGCAAGCCAGGCCCAAGCTTCTATCCCCAGCTTTTCAAGCTTCTTCCTTGTCTGTCTTGTTCCATCCATATCCTGATGGTGGTCTTGAGGCTGCCACCATGTAACTCACACCCGTGTGCTACATGGCCACTGACGTACGGGATGAGATGCCTCATGCACGCTCTTTGAATGTTTCCTCGTGGCATGCAACCTCAAGCGAGCGTTAGCGATAAGTCGATGATCAGTGTTAGATCCGGTGAGTTTGTTTTGCTCGTAAATGATATTGCTGGGTTAGAAGCAAGTGATACTGTTCAGTCCATGCTCTGACAACCTAACCAGGCTCATTAGCTAGCTAGGTCGGTGTCATTGACTCGCTAGTTGATTATGCACACTCAGCAAGCTATGGGTACTGCAAGCTCTTATCGATCCTTCTTTCACCAAGTTCCACGAATACCCGTCAAAAACAACTTCTTGTCATTCATGCTCCATTCTGCAGCTCAAGCTCCAAACCTCAATTCCATGCTCTTTCACGACTGAGACACGGAAAAGAGACATGATCCCTGTCGGCCCGGGAGCAATGTCCTTACCCGTGTGGTATGATTGGTCGTGTTGGCGCCCGGATCAGTGATGTCTCCATCCATCGTGGGCCCTTTGGCCTCGACCACTTGAGAGACCTACATACCCGCTGTGGCCGGTTACAGAGACCTCCTCTAGCTTGTGCTGGATGGACCCTTGCGTTCTTGTTAACTTCTGTCAATCGCCTTTCCATGAATCTTGTTTGCTGTGGCTTTGGCGAGCACCTTCTCTTGAATCGTAAGCCATCCACTTATCATCAAATGAGGCTTGTTACCTAGGTAGTCTTGCATCTTTAGTTAGTTGTTCTCTCAGCCGACCCGATACCATATCACATTAATCATGTGGACTCCATCAACCCCAGAACTAGGCGAAGGAAAGTCCAGAGCACCGTTCGCATCGCAACCCACTGAGCCATACGGACGTATCTGGAGTCTAGGTTACCGTGCAACTGTGAGATTTCTAGTGTTTTAACTAAATACCCAACACTCCTTGCGCACGATCCAAGCTAAGACTTGAGTGCTTCTCCCATCTCGTGCAATTAAGCACGCTGGATCATGGCCTCCCTCAGTCCTGCAGGCACCACAGCCAATGCGAGCAGTGTCTGTTACTAGTAAAACAATATCAAGGCTACGGGTTGTGTCTTCCCTGGGTATGGTTTCCGTCCTTTTCCTATGATATCCATGCTCATACAACAAGGATGTAATAGGAAACCTTTAAATTTTATGGCTATCTAGCATTTAAATCATAAAGAACGGTCGAACAAAGGTTGAGGCCATAAATCGATACCAACGAGCAACAGAAAACATCACAGTAGGCATCAGACAATAAGCAACTCATATCTTGCACTCAGTCCATCGTAGAGCACATGTGAATCGTTAATTGATTTATCTCGTAGACTGTAGGGTAGCGACTGAGCCCACCTATGATAGATCGAACCAATCAAGAGCTTACTCCATTAACAGATGCTCCCCCATATTTCCCCAGCTTTTTGGCCATCATGTGATTGGATGCTGTGTCGTCATTCCCGCTCGCCGCATCCGTCGGCTGCAGCTTGGGTGAGGTCGCAGCAGGCGCAGACCGTCCCATGTGCCACTTGCCTCGGATACCCGTATTTCACATGCTCATGACAACTTTTGATACAAGTCAGCCTCAACCATATTTGGACTTAGCAAAGATATTCATACAACCACGTTTTTTAATCTCTGCCGTCGAAACCTTCACATTCCACGCGATACACTAATGGACACATAAAGAAAGCGCATTTGAGCCTCGTAGAGACTCGGTTGTTGTGGGGAAGCTTCTCCAACGACAATATACAGCATTCAGCGTCATCACCAAACATTGCATCCCACCTCGCCATCGGATACTGTCTCTCATGGCTGCGCAATCAACGCTGCGGCATACTGCTGCCGAGGAGCAGCTAGCCGCCTTCCTCGATAAATGGACTGGCAAGATAAAGACAAGGTTGCGCGGAACGACTCGCACGACTCGTCTACTCGCGACATTGGCCCTTGCTATCTCAATTATCCTCGGAGGAGTTGGAGGGCGTCGATGGTGGAAGAACCGACGGCATGAGCGTGAACAGGGTCGGAAACTTGTGCGCACAAACTCCTGGCTTCACAACAAGGACGGATCGCGTACCATTTACGTTCCATACAAGGATGGCACATCCAAGGTGGTCATCAACACAACCAAGCCACTCACTTTCGACGCCCATCGTCGTTTGTTCCTAAACCCCCCTCGGGTATCTGGACTCCGGGAGGGAACTGTACCAGCAGCGCAAACGAAGCCAGGCCTCAACATTGCTTTCTTGCACCAATTCCTCAGTCTCATGAGCATCATGATACCCAGATGGTCTAGCAAGGAAGCTGGGTTGCTTGTTAGTCATGGTGTGTTCTTGATGCTAAGAACGTATCTCTCACTTGTTGTCGCCCGTCTGGATGGTGAGATTGTACGTGATTTGGTGGCTGGAAACGGAAAGGCGTTCCTTTGGGGTATTCTCAAGGTAAGTACTCGACCTAAGATTGAAGTCATTATACTCACATGTCCCAGTGGTGCGGCCTTGGAGGGTTTGCCTCATATACCAATGCCATGATTAAGTTCCTGGAGTCAAAGGTTTCTATTGCCTTCCGCACGCGACTTACACGCTACATCCATGACCTTTACCTCAACGATAACCTTAACTACTACAAGCTGTCTAACCTCGACGGTGGTGTTGGCCAAAGCGCCGATCAGTTCATCACTCAAGATCTGACTCTGTTCTGTGCGGCTGCAGCCAACATCTACTCATCGCTCGGCAAACCTTTCGTCGACCTGTGCGTTTTCAATTATCAGCTTTACCGATCGCTGGGGCCTCTTGCCCTCACTGGCCTCATGAGCAACTACTTCTTGACTGCTAGCATCCTTCGAAGACTTTCGCCACCATTTGGCAAGCTAAAGGCAGTTGAAGGCCGAAAAGAGGGTGATTTCCGAAGTTTACATGCCCGCTTGATCGCAAACGCCGAAGAGGTTGCCTTTTATGGCGGCGCAGATACTGAAAAGACCTTTTTGAACCGCGAGTTCAAGTCATTGAAGACTTGGATGGAGGGTATTTACATGCTGAAGATCCGCTATAACATTCTGGAAGACTTCATCCTCAAGTATAGTTGGAGTGCATACGGATATTTGTTGGCGTCGCTTCCCGTCTTCCTGCCACAATGGGGCGGCGTTGGCGGTCGGGCTGAGATGGTCGAGAATGGTGTACGCGGAGGCCGAGAGCGAAACCGCATGAAGGATTTTATCACCAACAAGAGGCTTATGCTCTCACTCGCCGATGCAGGTGGTCGTATGATGTACTCTATTAAGGACCTTTCAGAACTGGCAGGCTATACTAGCCGTGTGTACACACTCATCTCGACATTGCACCGGGTACATGCCGACGCCTACCACGTTCGGGCTGGCCAAAGCGAACTATACTCATTGTCTGATGTTTCAGGAACAATCCAGAAGGGATTTGACGGTGTTAGATTCGAGCATGTTCCAGTTGTGGCTCCTGGTCTGTGGCCTCAAGGAGGCGAGGAGTTGCTCGAGTCATTATCCATCATCGTGCGAAGGGGTGAACATCTATTAGTAAGTTATCTCTCGAAATGAGCTGTATGATTGCTAACAAAAGCCAGATTTCTGGACCAAATGGCGTGGGTAAAACTGCTATTGCAAGAATCCTGGCAGGCTTATGGCCAGTCTACCGTGGCCTAGTCAGTCGTCCCAAGGATATCGGCCAGGACGGCATCATGTTCCTCCCCCAGCGACCTTATCTGAGCCCCGGAACACTCCGTGACCAAGTCATCTATCCAGATGGCCACGTGGATATGAAGGAGAAGCGCAAGTCCGAAGATGACCTCAAGAGCGTCCTGGACGCTGCGCGACTCGGATACCTCCCTGACAGAGAGGGTGGATGGGATACGCGAAAGGAATGGAAGGATGTTCTCAGCGGAGGCGAGAAGCAGCGCATGGGTTTTGCCCGTGTGCTCTACCACGAGCCACAATATGCGATCGTGGATGAGGGCACCAGCGCTGTTTCGAGCGACGTAGAGGGTCTGCTGTATGAAACATGCAAGGAGAGAGGCATCAGTAAGTGATAGTTTGTTTCGAGTTGTGACGGGAACATCAGACTAACATCCCACAGCACTCATTACCATCTCAACACGTGCATCCCTCAAGAAGTATCACACGTATAACTTGGTCCTCGGTATGGGCGACCAGGGAGATGAGTGGGAATTCGAGCGAATTGGCACCGAGCGTGAGAAAATGCAGGTCGAGAAGGAGTTGCAAGACCTCCGTGAGCGGCTGGAGCAAGTCGATGAGTGGAAGAAGCGCCGAGATGAGATCGAGACTGAGCTCGCAGCGGTCTGGACAGACCAGGGCGAGGTGCTCGAGGCTCCGACACATGCGGAGAAGGCAGCTGAGGGCCAGGAGTAAGCGAAGGGTGGATTGAAGGGTTGGCTGATTGACGTAAGCAGAGAGCAATACCCCGAGGAGTTCAGATGATGGGATATTTTGTATGGCATGGAGTAGGCAGCGGGACTTGTGTATCTATTATTTCCAGGATCTACATAGACGATCTATCACTACAGGAGAGCAGAAGTTGGCTGATGTGACGTTGGACAGGTAGAGCAAGGGATAGACTCAAGGGTTATAAACCGTCAAAGATAGACCACACCTGGATACATAGGACCATTTTTATTGTCGGCCCTCAACGTGCAGGAGTGAGATGGAATTCTAGATCAAATAAAGATAAATGCAGTTCCGTCTAAACTCGGCCCCAAAACCAATATTTCCCAAGCCAAGCTTTACAGCTCAACGCCACTTTTCCAGGGCCGACTCCAATCACGAGGTCGCAGAGACAGCACGAACTATCAACGGCGCTAGCAGCAGCAGCAGCAGCAGAAGCAGCAAAAACGCCTCCCTCGGATGAGGTCGATCCCGCGTGGGCGGGTCACTGAATTGTTAATTGAATTTCTCAACCGTCGGAGGGGGAGGCAAAAAAATCAGGGCAGACGGAGGAGCTGGAAATCGATAGTCTAGAGGAGGGATAGAGCCATCAATTGATAACTGAACCTTTTCCTTCTTTTCAATTCCTAGATATGAATTTGTGTATATGAAGTCGCTGAATGTATCATCGAGCCTGATTGCGTTAATTGAAGTAGGCTGAGCTGAGCTGAACTCATGGAGGCTTGCATCTATTGCATGCAGATCAGCAAACACACATACACACTCACAGCCTTATAATTGAGTCTCTTACCCTCTTTGTTACATCTTCTTTATCCTCATCTTCAATCAGTTGAGACGATCGTCGCTGATCATCGTCGTCACTCAACTCAATCACACACTCTACTATCTCCAGCCACGAAACTGCAACCTCAGGAACCTCAAAAATGAACAGAAATCACAACTACAGAACAGGCTCCTTCAACTCCATCTCTCGTCCCTACCTCCCCTCAATCGATGAGAACGAAATCGCCTCTACACCCTCATCTCACAGCCCCCCAACACCTCCCCTGCGCATCCCCAGGAAGTCACCGCGGCGCGCTCTTCGCAACAATGCAATCCCACCGGCGTACATACCTAGAGGACGAGTATACTATGCTCCGCCCGTGGCGCACTATACTCCGCCACCTAGCTACAGCTACAGCGATGCTAAGGGCAAATTCCTAGAGCATGAGTATTCAGAAGCTGGGAGTTATAGAGAGAGGAGAGTTTGTGGACTTGATAAGCGCAGAGGATGTTGTTTGCTGGTTATTGCGCTTGTGGGCGTTGCTATTGTTGCTGTTGCTTTGGGTATTGGACTCTCGATAGGGTTGAAGGACGAGTAAGTCGAATATCCGAGACATTGAGTCTGACTAACACCGACTCCAGAGACAGAGCTCCTCCACAGGAGACTTCCACTTCAGAACCTCCAGCTGCATTCCCGGCTGGTTCTTTCGCTTTCAAAGCAGATCTCCAAAACACCACCACAGACTGTACTTCTAACCCCTCAACGTGGCGCTGCTATCCTTATGAAAAGGGCTCATCAGCAACGTTCTTCTGGATAATCTCATCCAACAACGACTCCTCATATAACATCTCATCCACTGAAAACCCCTTTGCGCCATCATTCACGAACTTGACCCTCAAGGTTCTCGACAAGGATACATCCCAAGAGCGTCTTCAGTTTTCTTTCTCAATGAACAAGACGATCGTCCCGGATGATCAGCTCTCGTCGAGCAACCGTGCAGCAAAGTGTACGTTTGATGATACGCTTTTCGAAGCTACACTGTGGACGCAGCGGAGGAGAGGTGATGAGGCAGCTGAAAACACAAAGTTTGCGGCTTGGCCGGGTGATGTTGATGTTGTTCAGCGCAAGACATTCGATGGAGGATCACCAAATTGTGTCGATAGCGAGGGTGGTCAAGTGGGTGACGTAAAGTCTGAGTCTGGAGCGTGCGAGTGCCGCTATGTAAACTACGATATTAACTAGATTGTCTCTATCTGTATTTAAGCTGGACGAGTTAATGTTGGGACTTGGTTACGAGGAAATCAAGGTGGATGGATAGGTTTGGAGTTAGTGATACCCAGGACCAACATGTTCTATAATAATTAATATTGGAAACGAAAAAGCAATGACACGCGAGAAACAGTTCTATATAAAAATATTATCAGCAAAGCGGATTAAAGGATAGACCAGAAGTAGCATAAACATCGCAATTTTGCATCACCTGACACAACAACCAGGATATCCATGGCGATAAACAAAACGAAAACAACGGCACCCATGCAAACCATCTCCCTATATATGACTTTAGTTCACGAAAGAATACACGGGAAAGCCTTCTTTTTCAAGTTGCGATTCGAGATATTTCGAGCGAGTCAAAAGGTTGCGAAAAGCCACAGGCATATCCGGCAACGCTTCCTCAACATACTCTGCAATAGCATCATGCTTCCGAGGCGGCGCTTTATGCCCGGCCTTCTTAGTTTTTTGAGGCTTCTTGTTGACCCTGCCTGACTTGGCAGACTTTGGAGAAATGTCAGGTGCAACCGTTGTAGTAGATATTTGGGTTGCGCGCTTGAGTGATATGTTCGCCAAATCCTCACCCAGTGCAGAAGGAGTTACGTTATGTTGGCCCCTTCGTAGGTGGGGGGGAACATAAGGCTGGGCTCCAGGCTGAACTTGATGCTGGGCTCGAGGCCAGTGGACTTGACGTTGGGCTTGATACTGGCCTTGAGGCTGAGCTTGAGGCTGGGCCGGAGGCTCCTTTACATTAAGTTGGGCCCTTCGTTGATCAAAAGGAACATGTCGTAAGTGAGGAAGAACATAAGGAGGAGCTGGAGGCTGATTCGGCGCGCCTTGGTTTCCAGCTGCTTGCGCCATGTGAGACGCGATTGCTACGCCTCCTTTCGCAACAGAGTCTACCACTGCCTGCTTGACAGGACTCGCCGGCGGTGGTGTTTCTAAAGGGAGAGGCATTGGCCCTTGAGGCTCGAAAAGGGCTTTCCACCATTTATCAACGAACTCTGGGCGATCATTGAAGCCTTGCTCCTTTCGCCCCAACAGATTCCTCAAAAGCTGGGTAATACTGGGCCTATCTTTAGGCTTCTCGTACAGACACCTCCTCACGGTCTCTCGCAATTCGAAGTCGATGTGATCATACTCTGGTGTCTGAAGCATCCCTCCATATGTCGGCTTATTTGTTCGATCATGGGCAACAGCTTGGTAAGGAAACTTGCTAAATACTCCGGTCATGATGGATTCCATCTTTCCAAAAAATTAGAGCATTTCTCGGGCTGGTCATGATCAATAGAACTTACAACTCTGGCAACAAGAAAGATGTTAGTCCACATCCCAAAGCGACCGGCAACCCGATTCCCCCTTTTCAAGTCTTCACCTCCATAAAATCGTCTCAAGGAAGGTTTATCCATACTGATAGACATTTTATCCCACTCTTTACTGAATTGCTCCTACTGTTTATCAGTGATGCATTCTACAGCAAGGTCAGGAATCCCATTACATACCGGTGCCATGCCATGAAGCTTGACAGGTCCTCTCATTACCCAAATCTGGGTTTCATCCTGACTCTCCCAAGCCTCGTTCATCTTGAAGCTCCAGGCACCGAGATCATGGAGCTAAAGAGATTAGGTCAACACATGTACACAAGGCAAATGTCGTTGTTGCGCAAGCTCACCTTGAAAATAGGCTGATAAGGATGTGTTGCTGGATCATGACCCGCGAGAACTAGACACGGAAGTTAAGCAAAAGGCCTAGATGGATGTTCCATAAACTTACCGTTGAGCACTTCTAGATCAAGATGAACATCGTGCTCAATTTGCCACTCTCTTTCGACACGGTCGAGGAAGGTTAGTGCCTCTTTTTTATCAGATTGTGCCCATTTCCACCACGTTTCGAAACTGGAGTTGCTAGAGCTGTTGGACGGAGTATAAGCAATGGTCGCGAGACCAAGCACAACTGTAAAATAGAGTCAGTCGATAAGATAAGATACAATGATTCGGAACAAGATGACTTACGGCATTCCCAAATTCCCCAGAGAACTTGGTCTGGGATTTGAGCATTTCTCGCAGCGACTGTTTGCATGATGTTGACCATGTCGCCGAATTTCATATACTCAAAGACAACACATTTCTCTGCTTCGGCGTTCCACTGTTTTCCGTGTCTGATAGCGTTGGCAGTAAATGTACCACTTCTTATCATACGAGTGTGTTTAGCCACTGCCTCGCGATGTAAGTCGATAACCTGTGTCGTGTGTTGGGCGCCGTCATACCGCAAGTGAAACTCGGATTCTTTGCGAGGGTCGAAGGCATTAGTTAAAGGGTCTATAGCTCTCTTAATCACGACCCTCCTGACAGACTTGTCATCAAAAACGACGTCCCATAGTGTGACGTATCCGTGACCACCCCGGGCAAGCACCTTGATAAACTTGAATTTCATGCCATGCCAGTGTTTGTTTTCTATCTTGTTTCGGGCATCTTGTGAGAACCAGGGATGGTTGGGCGCGTTGAAGTTTTGAATAGCTGTGAAAGGGGTTACCTCCTCTTTGCCTATGGTGTCTTCGGCACGCTCTACGTGGTCCCACATTGGTGGTGGAATGCATGGCCATCCGAGAATGTCGACATGTTCATCGCCACGAAGCAGAGCTCCTTGGATAGCTTGTAGGTTTCGTAAGCCGAAGTGGCACTCGCCTGATTGTGGTGGGCGTGGAACTAAAGGGATTGTTGTGGTACGAATCTCTTTGCCTTTCATGTTGGATAGACTGTATCGAGTTGAATTTGGTGGTGTCGCAAGTGAGGATTACATTGAGGAATACACCGAACAGGTTGGGAGGATTCGATGGTAATAAACTTGTTCGACAGAACAAAGACCAAAGGAGCTGCTGTCTGGGTCCCTCAAGACACGAGTGTTTTGTGTTGGACATTGACAATTGATAGCCCCAAGATCTGAAAGGAGTATCGAAGGCGACATTGTGAGAGGATCGAATCCGAAATTGGGTGTCTTTGGACAAAGAGGTGCGGTGGTTCCGTAATGGTTGGTGGTTTGGCGGTTTCTTTGTTCATCAGCCTGGTGACGCCCTGCTATCAAGATAGTACTATTTTGGTCACTGGGAGCCATGATCACGGATGCGACTATGCGCAAGCTTGAAAGGGTTCTTTGAAGCTGAAGAGGTGCTTGTCATGATTGTGAAGCGTCGAGTCTATTGTCGGTGTAAGCCAGTCTGGGACATTTCTGGATAGAGTAGTCTTTGTCGTAGAGCAATTGAAGTTATTCAACACCAGCCCTGACAGTATCTTGGGCAAATTGAAACCATTGGAGTTGATCTTGGCCATCTCATGCTCTTGCTCGACCCTGGACATTCTTTTTTTCCCATCATGGGACTTGCTCACTAGGTTGTCATGGATGATGGGTGTAGGTAGGGGTGTTTACAGAGCAACATTTAGAGTGGGGATTCTATGCGAGTGCCTGGAGATTACCCGCTACTGTGGGACGACGGGCAGCTCATCCGTGGGGCACTTGCCTTTAGGCTAAATTGATGGTTTCTTCCGGAAGGACAAGACCCTCAGAGGCTCTTCAATCTTCTGTAGTTATCATGATATGGCTCAAGTTGAAGGTCTATTCACCCGAAATCCACATCGAAAATATCATGGACTAGGGAACCTTGGAATTACGCCGAGCCGAGATATGGACCACGTCAGAGATTTTGGCAGAATTGAGTAGCAGAAGGGAGGTCATGCGGCGAAACGCCCGGAGTTAGGGGACCCTACGCCTATGTTTAACCTTGAAGATGGAAAGGAGTTGCTTCTTGTCACTGTTTTTGCGCATCAATCACAGAAAAGATGCCTCAAGACACACCCGCGCGAGTGAAAGTCGACTTGGCTTAGACGCGGCACTTGAAGCTTCAGAATAAACGCACAAATAGGCTGCTCACAAAAGGTTAACTCTGAGACCAGGGGCACATGTGTCATGAAACAGACAGAATCTGCGGCGCATGAAGACAATTGCTTTTGTGGTATAGATCCTGCTTATTCTTCTTCATCTTCATCTGTCTCTCTCATACCGCTAACTGGGGTCCTTGGTGTGGCTGGCCTAGTCCTAGATTTGCGGGGTGAAGCATCCATACCCTGGACTGGATTGGTTCTCGAACGACTGACACATACAGTGACTAGAGTGATTACTTCGGGGAGCTTCGGCCATTACTTTAGTGTCGTTTCTCTTTTCTTCTTCTTTTGGCTGAAAGTTTTCATGATCAGATTTGTTTCACTGAAATATCCACTCGTCATATGTAACATACGCACTGTAAAAACCGGCGATGATGGTAACATCACGAACCATGACTTATAACACAATGTTCAGCTTCACAGCGATAAGCGATGAGATTTAGTTTATCCAGAATATTATTCCTTCCCTTGTAATTATGAACCCTCCATACTTCCATATGGCATTCATCCTCCCCCAATACCCATCCAATATGCCCGCCATCTCATCCGCCGGGTGAATTCCATCCTATGCCCCACCAACGGCGGCATAATCTGGAAGGCAGAGAAGAAACTGGGGCTGAACTGGGCTGGTTAATACGACGATTCGCTCCCTCTGGCTCGCATGATGGGCTCTACCCAGACATTTGCCGCCCTCACACACCTCTCTACTGTGCTATACGTTTGGGGGTTACACACCCCGGGAGCAACCCCATGATACTGCACCAGATGCTGCAGGCCTGAGGGAGTGACATTCTATGACCCGCGGAAGGAATACGCGCACTCATGCCAACGCTATTCATGGCCTTTCTCTTGTTGAAGGCGTAGCGCTATCAAATACCATGCCATACTACGCAGTATGGACCTTGCCCCTTGCTTGTCATGCCGCACCCATGAGGGCATACGATATCTGCCTAGGTACTGTAGCTACCTCTGAGGATAACATGTACACATAGCAACATGTGTTCTTCTTAGCATAAATATAAATAATACTGTCCCCTCCTCTGAGCTGGCTATCCCATTCTTGCTTCTCCTCTCCTCCTCTCTCTACTCTATCAACCAACCACCACATCTCTTACACAATCAACAACCGTCACAATGGTCAACGTTCCCAACATCAAGCTCAACAGCGGCTTTGACATGCCCCAGATTGGCTTCGGCCTCTGGAAGGTTGACGACAACTGCGCTGACGTTGTCTACGAGGCCATCAAGGCTGGATACCGTCTTCTCGACGGTGCTTGCGGTATGTTTGTCTCTGAAAACCCCCAATCGCCTTTACAATTACCCGTCGCCAACTTCAATTACACGGCCATGATCCCATTCCATTGCTTGGCCCCTCCCCAGATAATCCTTGTCTTTCTGCCCCTCATTTTCCCTGCCAATTGTCAATTGCACCGAGAAAACAGCCACATTACCCCTGTAAAACTACCCCTCCACTGCACTTGGAGCTTCACCCCACACCATGATGGCTTCATGACTTCTCGTTTTACCCGGACAAAACAGAATTTTACAGAAATTCTAATGGATTTTTCACAACAGATTACGGAAATGAGAAGGCCTGCGGTGAGGGTGTCGCCCGCGCTATCAAGGATGGTATCGTGAAGCGTGAGGACCTCTTCATCGTCTCCAAGCTCTGGCAGACCTACCACGACAAGGAGAACGTCGAGCCCATCACCCGCCGACAGCTCGCAGACTGGCAGATCGACTACTTTGACCTCTTCCTCATCCACTTCCCCGTCGCCCTCGAGTACGTTGACCCCGAGGTCCGCTACCCCCCTGGCTGGCACTACGACGACGCCGGCACCGAGATCCGATGGAGCAAGGCCACCAACGAGGAGACCTGGGGCGCCATGGAGGGCCTCGTTGAGAAGGGTCTTGCCAAGTCCATTGGTATCTCCAACTTCCAGGCTCAGTCCATCTACGATCTCCTCAAGTACGCCAAGATCCGACCTGCCACCCTCCAGGTCGAGCTTCACCCCTACCACCAGCAGACCGAGCTTGTCCGCCTCGCCAAGGCTGAGGGCATTGCTCTGACTGCCTACTCTTCTTTCGGTCCTGCTGGCTTCATGGAGCTCGACATGGACATTGCCAAGTCTGCTTCTCCTCTCATGCAGCACGAGGTCTTCACTGGCCTCGCCAGCAAGTACGACAAGACCGCCGCTCAGGTCCTCCTCCGATGGGCCACACAGCAAGGTCTTGCCGTCATCCCCAAGAGCACCACACCCGAGTACATGGCCCAGAACTTCGGCTGTGTCGGTTGGGACATTGATGAGGAGGACATGAAGCGCATTGCCAGAATGAACCTCAACCTCAAGTTCAACAAGCCCACCAACGTAAGTTTTCACTCTCAATTGGTTACCTGAGACAATGCTAACATTTCGCAGTACTTCCCTACCGAGAAGCTCTGGATCTTCGCTTAAATAATGACAATGAAATGATATGATAAGTAAAAGAAAGAAGCATTGGAAACATGATTGTTTGGGATATTTGGCGTTTGATGACGATGGGCTGCATTTTGTAGAACCGCAAGGACTTGATGAGACGCTCTCATAGAATACAAAAGACAGTTAACCCTTCAACAAATTTGGTCACTTTTGCGTGATATGATTATCGTTTTGGGAAATGATTGCTCCATGATATGACCAAGACTGAGCAGTGCGTGACTGCCTGTGGCCTCGGTAACTCTCTGTTTGTTCTGGAACCTTGTCTAAACTGTAACTCACATCAAGCTTTATCTGTCTTTGAATGAACCATTTATTGAATGCACCGTCGATGCCACCCTGAGTATCGAAAAAGCCAAACTCCATTGCCTTAACGCCTTGCTTTCTGTGACGAAGCCTTCAAAAGTCGAACTCATGTTCGAACAAATGCTGCCGAAAAGGTTAGTGATAATCCTTAGAATTGTATGATTCAGTGTTGACTTACTGGCATCAATCTGCTTGACCTGCGGCAACGTCATTCGGATCCTGTTCCTATATGCCACAGGTTCCTGCAGTTGCAGCGGGTTTCCTTCAAAATACACCGTCGTCAACTCTTTCTTATCGGCAAGATATTTGGCAACCTCCTTGTAATCGCCGATGAGATTATAGCTGGCCCACAACTCTTCCAGCTCAGCAAGTAACTCAAGACCCTTGATGCTGGTGATCTTGTTGTTTGAGATATCCAGCACATGCAGCTTGGGGTTGTGCTCCAGGCCCTCTAGAGACTCCAACATGTTGTGTGAAATGTATAGCTCCTCAAGCGTAGGGACGTCCCTGAGTGGTGACAAATCGCTTATACGGTTGGACTGAATGCTCAGTAGTCTAAGATTAGGCAAACCACCAAGACCAGTGAGCTCAGTAATTTTGTTCTTCGCCAACCAAAGCTCTTCGATCGCCTTCAGAGAGTCGAGGTTCTTGATTTCGCGAATGCGGTTCGATCCAAGCTCAAGAGATGTCAACTTATCCAACCCCTCCAGCCCCTCGATTTTGCCAATCTTGTTCGCGACAAGGTATAATTCCTTGAGTTTTGTCAAGTGGTTGATGTGCTTGATATGCTTGATTTTGTTGAAGCTCAGATCAAGGCTTGTAAGGTTTGTTAACTCGTCTAGGCCGCGAATGTGCGAAATGAGGTTGTCGTAGAGGTCAAGGTCTTCGAGGGTCTCGGCAAGGGCGGACAGGCCGTCGATTTGCTCGATGCTGTTTTGGCGGAGGCAGATACGGGCAACGTTCTTGAAGCGTTCGAGTCGCAGAGAGGAAATCGAAGCGATTCGAGAGTGCGAACACATAATTTCGTCCGTCTCGGGGTCTTCGTCATCAAGGAGATCTGCACGTGTTAGTCCGAACTGTCCCTCTTTGTAAGTTGATGTGCAGCACATACCCTCATCAGCGTCGATCTGCTCTCCCTTCATGACATTCTCATCGTCAGAGTAGTCAGAATCGGTGAGAGCCTCTGGGTTTGTCATGGAAGCCGACTTTGGCACGCGAAGCTTGCCATCCCAACCCTTGCTGTTCCTGAGGCCAGGGCTTGACTCGCCGTCTGGGCGCGGTGAAGGCTTGTCGCTGTCACTGGGGACTTCGATGTGCGCATGGCCGTCATTTTCTTTATCGGATCCAGGCATGGTTGTGAGTGCTGAGCTCTCTTAGAGCACGAGATGGGCGACAATGTAGTTGTTCACGAAGATGGGCGGTGATGGCGGGGCAGATGTGATGCAAGTTTGTAAGCGAGTTTTGAGTCGAGCGAGAGAGACGTTGTCGATTTGAGATTGTGGGGGAGAGGGACGGTAAAGAAGAGAAAAAAGGGGAAGGATGGGATTTTCAGGAACGTGATGGAGGCGGGAAAAAAGCTGATTAAAAGCTGAGAAATTGACCTGAATTATCGGGTGCTTTCCACTTCCACTGGGTCTCTGTTTATGGATGGTTGGTTCCTGAGGGTGCCTTACTTTACCTGCAGGACACTACAGCAAAAGTTTGGCGGGGCTTAAAACCGTTGTAACTTTATAGGTGACGTTATGATATCACCTCGATAATCAGACCATAGGCATGAGACAGATTAAACAGATCATTCTGTAAAACATCTGCGTCAATTGATCATAAATTTAGTAAAAATTGGTTGAGAATTATGATGTTCTTGAAGATTTTACTGAAAAATATTCATGAGATATTTATAATCACTTTACACCCCTACACGCATACAATGAAGTCAGATACATCTCACTATCAGCTGTCTCCCTCAATTTCACTGCACATCATCCCCAATTCGCCCAGCCGCATATCCCTCAAGCCCAGTCGCGCTCGAACATGTCATAAACTCGGACCCCTTGCACCTAACTACATCAATCCACGTTTCTCCGTCCCCTTGCCAGGCGCTTCTTTGATCGCCAGCTCCCATGGCCTCGCATGCCATAACCATATCGGCCATGCGCTCGCGAGGCGTTTGCATGAGGACTCGGCCGCGTATGTGGACACATGCAATTATGAGGCCTCATCTGGGCCGCACTAAGTCCCTGCATGTTGCGCCTTTTCTCATGCCGCCTTTGGTGTTTACTGGTTTGTTTGTAGCTTTGTGGAGTTGGAAGTGTTTGATGATGGTTCTGTTCCAGAATACGATCATCTATAATCCGTTCTTACCACCCAATTCTCGGAGTTTGACCATTGAGGAGTTCTCCCGCGATTGTGGACGTGTGAAATGGAGGGAAGAGAGAATTAAGTCATTGGATGGAACAGAGATTGCCTTGTGTGTGGCAGATGTTCCCCCAGTATCTCAAGTGAGTGCGGGCAAAGCAACGACACCAGTTTACATCCTCTACTTTCAAGGTGTGCCAATCTCATAGTCTCAAGCATCACAGCAACTTACTCAGAGTTTTAGGGAACGCATCGTCGTTACCACCTAGACTACCAGATCTGTCCTGGATTATACGGCGAGCACATGATAATGAACCCTCAGTTAACTACACATTGGTTTGTCTGAGTTATCGAGGGTATTGGACATCTCATGATAGACCATCAGAACCAGGAATCAATCTTGACTCGCAAGCAGCATTACAATGGATAGCTCAATTACATGAAAGCAGATCAGAAAATGCTGATCAAGAGAAACCAACAGTACTACTCTGGGGACAGAGCATTGGCTGTGGTTTCGCAACCAACCTTGCAGCCAAAGGTCAATTCCCTCCAGGTATAAAACTTAACGGTCTTATTCTGGAAACACCCTTTACAAACGTCCGAGCGATGCTCCAAGCATTATATCCACAGAAGTGGCTTCCATACCAATATCTCTGGCCATTTCTCCGAAACCACCTGGACAGCTGGGCCAACCTCGGCATGATAGCCAAGAGATTCCCAGATACGCCACCGGGGATATACATAGTGGAAGCCGGAAAAGATGAGCTTGTTCCTGCCAATCACGGCGAGGAACTGCTTCAGCGATGCCGACGGGTTGGACTCCCAGTGGAGCGCCAGAAGGTCCGCGGGGCACTTCACAACGAAGCCATGGTGAGAGTCTCGGGCAAACAAGCACTTGCGCAGTCCATCTCGACGGCTGCAACACGGGCACGGGAACAGGACTTGTTAAGAAAAGGAGAAGATGAGAACAGTGCAGGGAAGGGGTTGACTTGAAACTGGTCAAGTTGAGGGGCAAATCATTCAAGTCTCGAGTTCTCTGGCGTGAATTCGGGACATGTCGGTCATCTGCAGCCGTGGCGTACAGGGATCTTAAGTGTGTGTGACAAGAAATGCCGTCACGGTCAACCGTATAACGGGCATTGTCACCGTCGATGCCCTCAAATCTCAGGGAGGTTTCTCATCCGAGCCTTGCACTAAGGGTCATTAGAACCCAGCAGGCTGTATCGAGTGTGGAGGCGTTGGGAGCTATGTCAGGTACCTTACCTTGGTTCCCCTGGTTAAATCACAAATCATACCCACCGACGAAAGGCTAAAAGATCCACCATCAATTAAAACAGCATGGGGTTAAAGGGAAAAAAGTTGTTTGTGGTAGAGAGTGTGCTTGGAGGGGAGAAGCCATTCTGTGAAGTCGTGAGAATTAGATAGACGAGGAGGCCTCGTAAGGGTCATACATCATCAACCCAATTGAGCTTGGCCCTCAATTGATCTCAATTGATTCTGCAAGAGCTTACGATTCAGATGATGCAAAAAATGACGAGGCTCGACCATATTTCAAGAGCCTTGCAGCTCCATTGCCGAGCATGCGTTATCATGCAGTCCCATGAGCTTGAGTGCTTCTGCCTTGAGAAGTTCCCCATTCAGCACGCAAGGCCCCCATAATTAATCATCCTAGCACCACCAACAGCGAAGGCACATGCTGTACCTGTACCTAATTTGTTAGGATGCCCTCCCCGAGACTTTGGTCGGCTTCAATTAAGTCAAACCGCTAACAAGGCCCCCTTACCTTTCAAGTCCATGCTTTCGTTTGTTTTTTGCTTTTCCCAGCCCCTTTTCCTCTGTGACTCCCATTCAACCCCTGCTCATATTTTAACAACGGACGCCCTTGAATTGATTAAAACACTCTTTTTGCGTCACGTGCTCTGGCGTCAATATCGCGCGGCCACTTTTCCACTCTACACGTACACCCTTAGCACACGCGTCTGGGCCACTACCTATCACCACCGACGGGGCTGACTCGCCTCATGCAAAGGAGAAATGGATGGAATGGATGGCTCATTAGCGGGGGTAGCACTGCATCAGGCAGCCCATCTCGTACTGTTCCGCACGGGGCATCCATCTCAAGTTATAAAGATGGTGTGTCTTCTCCCATTTCGTAGTTGTTCTTGTATCCTGAGACGAATCAGAAGAGTGATCATTTCCAATCACTATTTGAACCTGAGGTAGGTTTCAATTTTCCAAAATACCCAACGATATTCTTCCGGCGTCTTCTTTCATCTGCCTCATTCTTTTGTTGCCTCGTTCTGTCTCTGCCTGCTTCGCCGTCCACCTCGTTATCGGCCCAACGAGTATAAAACAACCCAGCGATCCCATCGTTTAATAATTTAAAACTATCTTTACCGAAGCATCCCTCAGGAATCATCAACATGTTCTCCTCTTCCAGACGCCATGAGAGCTCAAGCAAGAGTTTCTCAAAAAGCCACAAGGCCAGCAAATCGAGTTCTTCTTTCAGCAAAGACAGTGGCATCACCAAGCGAAGACATGAGTCCCGCCATCGCCGACCAACAATGACTTCCATGACCAGTGCCAGTGGTGATACCATGATGGACAAGTAAGTCACTGTTTCTTCAATTCCCAAATCGGCACTCACACGATTCAGCAACATGGCCTCACCCATCGTCACTCTCGTAGTTGGCAGCGAACAACGTCTCTTTGCCGCTCACGAAGACGTTCTTGCCACTAGCCCTTTCTTCAACAATGCTCTACGAAATGGATACATGGACGTCGCCAGCAAACGCATCTCTCTTCCCGACGAAGAGCCCGAGATCTTCAGCTCTGTTCTTGAGTTTCTCTACAAGGGAGACTACACTCCTCGTCTCGTTCACAACAAACGTCGTAACTCGTACGAACTTGAAGCTGCTAGCGAAGAACAGCGTGCTGCTGTCGAGAGCACAGTTTATCATCGTGGCATCGACGGTGATCTTCTCAAGGATACTGTCATCTACTGTGCGGCGGAGAAGTATGGACTTGATGAGTTGAAGAAGCTGTCGCTGCGAAAGCAAGGACTTCGTAGGTTTCAGTCTCTCCCCTTTCATCCTTTTACTGATGATCTTTTTTCTTTTTAGAATCTGGAATCCAGTGCAGCACCATACTTGCTTCAGCAAGATACGCCTATGCCAACACTCCTGATACTGACTCCAAGCTACGAGCTCACTATCTTGCACTCATCATTCGTTCACGAAGCACTTTCAAGCGAAGTGGTACTATGCAACTCGAGATGTACAACGGCGGCACTCAACTTTTCTTTGATCTTTTTGTCGCTCTTTGCAACCATGTCGACGACATCTCAACCGCACAGTGAGCCTAAGTCTCAATATCTATCTCGCAACAAACACTAACAAGGCAGTAGAAACACTCCTCGCTCAAACCGCCACTTCTCTTAATGCACATTCCTCACTGTGTGGCTTCTGCTCCGTTTTAATGAAACATGAATTTCCTTTCTCTTCGATACAAGGCGTCGACTTCACAGTACTGACAAATGCCATAAAACTAAAGAAATATCTGGGGTGGAGTTCAGGTGCTTTTATTGATGCTTTATTCAAGGAGTTCTAACGGTTGAAATTTGGCGTTGACATTTCTTTTCTGTACAACTATTCTTCTTACGGGCCCCTAGAGGGTTCAACATTTTGGAGCACAGGGGTTTTTGGATCTTGGCTTCGCTGAACGCGAGCCGGTTGGGTGATATTGGATTTTTCACGATGATTTTGTACCGAGGATACCAAGACTGTCATCTGAGATGGATGGGCCAAAATATGTATCATTATTCACGACGCTCATTTTCACGAACTTGAAAAGAGCGAGTTTTCAAATACAGTTCATGTCTTGCATTGCTTTGTTCGCTGTTCTTGCTTCAGTGAGATTCCAAAAGTCCTGTTGAGAACGTCAAATGGGGCGTCCAACAAGGTTTGCCAAGGACCAGACACATCGTGAAACACAAGTCGCTTCTGACGGAAGAGATCCCCGGTTGTGAGTCACGCTGTGGGATAAGTGCGATCTAACTTGCGAGGAAGCAAGCGAACCATGCAAACCGCGAGTGTGAAATGTGGGGTGCTCAACAACGTCTCGCATTTGACAAAAGGCCCGGGCTGTCTAACCATGACTATCGATCGAAGACCCATACATGGGAATGTGCTTTTTTTTTTCAGATGCATCAACAGCTGAGGGCTAACAAGGACGAGGGTGCAGGCTCAAAGATGCGAGACGCAAGGGTGGTTCACGGTGTTGTTCTCAAGCGTGAATGGTGCAAAGATAACCTTAAACAAGCAAGGAGGTCATACGAGCGCAATCATGAGCTTGGACTGAAAAGCAAACGCAAAACGGACATAGCTGAAAATGGTTTATGATTTGTCGGTGCCAGCGTCATTCTGACAGTTTCGGTGTCTATCCACTCTACCCCATGTTACTAGAGTCTCTTATAGTAGTCGTCGTTGGTTTAAGAAATGCAACTAAACTCTCAAGCTTCTCATACGTCCATCAGTCGTGTCTCAGCGAATGGCTTTAGCCTGTAGTCTCACAATCCTGTGCCGGGGAAGGCGCCTTTCTTAGACAAAACCACAATGCCTCGTTCTCGTGCAATATAACCTTTCATAAGTTCCTAAACAAACAAACGTTAGTGACTCAGATATTTGTAAGGCTGAGATGGAGGGGGTGTAGATAAAGAGCGTGAATGCCCCAGGCAGACACTTGGCTAAGGCAGCAATTTGGTGACGATTATATAGTCAACTGACTGCCACGCAGATGCCAACGACAACTCTCAACTGTTTTGGACTAGAGAAGTAACGCTGAGCCGAAAGGCAGCCCGCGCCTTATCCACAGGAAGGATCTGTTAACTTACCTTGTAAATCATATTGGCCAGCATGCACTCAACTTCATCCGGGTCGACCATATGACCGCTTCCCATGCTAACTGCAGCCTGGAATTCGGCTACAGGTATTCTTGTACGACGGACCGGAGTTGTCTCGCCCTCTTTTGGTTCATCAAAACCACCAGCAATGAAGACCTTACGTAGTAGGTTACGCAAGGCGATGTCTCGGCCCCTTTCGAGGGTAAGGTATATACGCCGCTTGACGAACTCAGCCTCCCCATCCTGTAGAGCCTTGTCGAAGGCTTGTAGGTTACCGGACTTGATACAACTGGCCAGAGGAAGGAAGAGTTCCTGTAGACGAGGATAGTTCTCGAGGAGGGCTTTGGTAGGAAGGACATGACTGGTGAGGAGCCGGCAAGGGATGAGGTAGGTCAAAATTCGTCTGTAGCCATATCAGCACATGTTTCACGGCTTATATTGATACTCCACTCACTCGGATTGACGGAGAGCGTCTTTGTGGCATAGTTGCCACGCTTCATTGAGATGAGATTCGGCCTCGAATATTATTAGATAGTGGCATTGATAGGCGACGGCACACTCACCTTATTGTAGTTCTCCTCAAGGAACAGCAAAACTCCCTCGTAAAACTTGAAAGTCACTCGTTGGGACTTTGGGAACATTCCCAAAGGCGGCATATCGCCCTTGTCATTGTACACAGCCAGCGTCTTAAGGATAGTCCGCGACAAGGAAGCTGAGTTCAACTTGAAGTAGGTTTTGAAAAGAAGGTTGATAACGAAATAGATTCCCCATTTCCGTGATTCCTCAAGGGGTGCTCTGGACACAATCAGCCAAAATCAACGTGCCAGATTATGATGACCATACCTGTCATTTAGACAAAGTGAAAAGATACGCTTGAGGTGTCCTTCGCAGTCTCTTAACTGAAGTTGCTTATCCGTTTCTGGGTCGAAATCGTCCGATATCAACGAGGCTCCAGGGCCAGTATCAAAAGTCTTCGCTTGGCGCTCCTCGTCGGATTTAATCGCAAATAATCGTAGGTATTTGCCCACCATATAGAGGGAAGGGATAGTCCACGCTTCGAAACCATGTGAGTTGTATCCGCGGATGAGTACGGAGGTCAGTTCCTTCCATGCCTCGTACACTTTAGTCCATGTAGACTATGACAAGGATTAGTGTGATGCTCTCAGAGCCACCTATACAAAGCCTCGTACCTTTCCGCTCTCTCCCGCCAAGATCTCAGCAATAGCTTTCCAATATGAGGTGTACACCTCAACCCAGCCCGTCGTTTCATCATGGCTCATTTTCCGCCGATGAGATGTACTACTCTTGACGAAGTGCTTGATGTCGCCCTTAACGCTGTGAGAATTCGTACTACGCCATACAGCCATGAGGCGATGAGGGTCATCTGGCGGGGCAACAGGCGATAATGTTTGCGCGAGTTTGTAGCCATTTTTCTGGGAATGCGCTTCCGCAAACTGATCGAAGAGGGTGTTCATGGTTCCTGTGTTAGACACGCAGTATGCTCAGTGAGAGTGCTGGTCGTAGTTCAAACTGAGCATGAGCAGAATCAAAAGTAGCGATATCGATTTAATGAATGACTGAACAATCCAGTGACACGGTTGTTATAGGCGCCAGTTTGTATTACCGAAGTTTGTGATGTTACAAGTCGATCGACTGGCCTCTCACTCTGTCGTTGAACTCATCTTCCTCCTTCTCAACTTCTTTGAGTTGCCTGCCTGCGTTTCTGATTGGCCATCGGACCCACCGTCGTCCAGAACTCTTTCCTTAGAGCTGCACGTGACGCTCTACTGAAGTGGGACTCGGTCGACCAATCGCTACCGGGGCCTAAGCCCTCCGGAAGGTACGACCCACTGTCTTGCCCTCCTAATCGCACACAATTTTATCTTGCGATCTTGCAAACTTGCCATTTACTAACCTTCCAGTCAATCACCAGAAGTCACCGTAAGTGCATACCAGGACTCATACAGGGAAACCCACTGACAAGTAAACAGATGGGTAAGCAGTTTTTCTATTTTATGCGCTCGATTGCAACGATGCCGCCCGCCGGAGGATTATGACGACGAGAAACAAATTTCGATATTTCTTCACAACTTGTTACGAAGGGGAGAGAAGGACGAAGGATCACCTCCCAGCTACTACAGAACATCGACAACTGCTCACACAATTTCCTATGTGTTTGCTGAAGCGGGGCTTGTCAAAATTGTGATCGGGGAGCCAATTTCGAATTTCGTCAACACCTCGACTTACCACTAGCACCACGCACTCGAAATTTCGATTTGATCCTCCGGCTCGGCTCGCGGCATCACATCAACAAACAACTATCACCTGCAACGTCTAATACTGACAATGTCTTCAGGCCGTCTTCAGGAATACGAGGTCATTGGGCGCCACTTGCCCACCGAGGCTAACCCTACCCCCGCCCTCTACCGCATGACCATCTTCGCTCCCAACGAGACGGTCGCCAAGTCCCGATACTGGTACTTCTTGCGCGGTCTCAAGAAGGTCAAGAAGGCCACTGGTGAGATCGTCAGCGTCAAGACTGTACGTAGCAATAATCCAATGAAGGAAAACAATGGGCCAGGCTAACTGGGATAATCAGATCCACGAGAAGCACCCCCTCAAGGTCAAGAACTTCGGTATCTGGATCCGATATGACTCTCGTTCCGGCACGCACAACATGTACAAGGAGTACCGTGAGCTGTCCCGAACAGATGCTGTCGAGTCTCTCTACTCCGACATGGCTGCCCGCCACCGTGCTCGTTTCAGGTCCATCCACGTACGTCGAACTCAGTCGATCAGCTGCTCATCATAGATACTAACAAAATTTAGATCCTCCGCGTTGTCGAGATTGAGAAGACCGAGGACATCAAGCGACCCTACATCCGCCAGCTGACCCAGAAGGGACTCAGCTTCCCTCTCCCCCACCGCATCACCAAGGAGAACACCAAGAAGATCTTCAGCGCGAAGCGACCTTCCACTTTCGCTTAGAATGATTTCGGTTTAGAGGACGGTTGGGCTCTGCGGGTGTTACAACGGATCATGGAAATATCAACTGACTTTGCTCAATAAAACGGGCATTGAATGAACCAAAAATTCTGAGCATGCGGATGCTGCCTGGTGTGAAAACAATTGATTGGGATTTAAAAAGTAACAAAGACTACCGATTGTGAACTATTATGACGACTCGCCTGTCCCGCTCCCCGGAGATGTTTCTATCTGTGTATCGTTGAAAAATTCTGTCCAATATGTCCATTCCATAGGCACGCCTTGCTCCAAGCCCATACCAAAGTCGAGATTCAGTGTTTCTGGTGAATCGAACAGTATTGAAGGATCCATGCTGCTCGTGTCGTACTGTGATGTCAAACCTGGCCCCGACGAAGGAATATTCATCTGCGGGTTCGTACCATACTGCAATGGTTGAGCCATATTGTTCATTGCAGGACGTATGAAAGAGGTTGCAGGATCCAGGTTCATGCTGGAGTTAAAATCCATACGCTTGAGCAGCGCTTCGGTTCTCGCCGCTCTTGCTTTCTTGAGCAGTTTCTTGATAGGTCGCCAAAGTGAACCTTTCGCTGTGTCTGCAATGTGCTCTCGTGACGATGGAAATGTTCTCTCCACAACCACCCAAGCCTTGTCTACTAACTCTCCCTCTGTCTGTACGCAGAGTTCTGCCAATGCAACTGCGAGAGGATGCCATTGCACATAGGTGTCTGTCCACCAGGCAAACCGATCTTCCCACTGGTTTTTCGTCATACGCTCTCGCAGCTCAATAATCGAGATCGCAGTACGCAGCATAGTCTCTTTTGAAACTCGGGGTCGGTCGGGAGCTGGTCCGCCGGTGAAAGGATATTGGATGTTAAGCCAGAGCTTGAGAATGACGATGCGAGCAATTTCAGAGGCGTAGATAGATGGGAGGTGTGAAGGTTTGGCAGTATGGATGAAGCTGGTTTCTAGTTGACGTATATGAGAAATAAGCTCCTCTTCCGTATACAGGAAATGTTCTGGCTCGCCTCTAGGGCTGTAATGTGGGTGTGATATGAAGCCGAAGATGCCTGAGCACATAGCAGTACACAAACAGACAACATTCTCGGCAGGCGTTGTTTTGGGTATCAAGGGACCTATGGAATCCGGTCCGAAATCGTCATCATCAATGGGGGTGGGCTCCGCGGTATCGAAGCCTGATCGAGTGAGCGTTGCATCCGAACCACGGTCTTCTGAGCCACGGATATCGAGAACAACGATGAAATGCCATAGACGGCGCCTCATCTCGGCAACAAACGGTGTAAAGCGGTGACCGTCGCCGTCGCGATGGAGATTAAGTCCTTGGGCAATACGGATAATAAGTGACGTAAGAACCCAAGACGTCCGGTCATGTAAGTGCACACGCATCATGCTCGTGTACAGTGTCAGGGCTTGGAGAGGTTCGATCTTGGTTGTGCTGAGGTAGTCTGCCTCGGCGAGTGCCCGCTCAACCGCAACACGGTATCGCCTTGTGAGAATTTCCTTGTTTTCGCCCAGCTGCTTCAAACACGATTCTGGTGTCAGGCAAACAGCTGCACAGAAGTAGATGGCGAATAAGACAGCGTTGATCTCAGGAGTGAAGGTATGTGTTGTCGGTGACTCGATATAAGCCTGGAAGTGCTTGCTGATGGTTGGTCGATGCAGAATCTTCATGAGAGGATCGACATTGCGGGTGTAAATCGTCCAGAGCCGTATCATCATATTCGGTGGAGGGTGTATTAGCGGTTGCCTCGATGTGTAATCAGAGTTTCCAAGTAAGAAGCCCGAAGGACCTGTAGATGCCACATCTACTGACTCTGGGCTTTCGCCCTCTTCTTCATCATCACTGTCTTCAGAAGGTTGATTCAACGCTTGTCGAATTCCCTCAACCTCAGCACATAAGTTTCCCCAAAAGCCAGAACCGAGATACTGTTCGCCAGTCTCTAAATTAGCAGCCTGCGCTGCTACTGCTTGAGATTCATCACAGCGGTTATCCAGCGTTGCCGAAAGTGAAGTTGAGCCTTGGAGACTCTGAATGTCCCCCTCGTCCAATTGCTTCAGTTTGGCGGGGTCAGCCTGGTTGACGATGCTCTCAAGACGACTGATCCTATCGAGTAGTTCACTCTGGCGAGGCCTTGGAGCACGTCTTGTTGGTTTTCTTGAGGGAAAGACACAGTCGAGGCCAAAGCGAGAACATTGACCGCATAACGGTTGTATCTTGTCGCATTTGATTTTGCGTGTGCGACAGTTTGAACAGCTCAGTACTTTGGCCGGACGACCTTCGCGGGAGCTCATTCTGGGCGATTATGGCCAATAATATATAAATAATTATGTTGATGACTTAAACCGAGACTGCCGCAGTGATTATCTCAAATAATCATGGCTATGCGTTGAAGTTTAACTTAAAGCAAGACAAGTAAGCAAATAACAGCAAGAATTGACAATCTGTAGCAGACAGAGGAAGTGCCGGCGCGGCCCCACCCGACTCGACTTTAGTGACGTTTAGATTTTTTATGGGTGACATTTGTCTCTTGTCTCGACCCTGATTCCCTTTCTGCCTATCAAGTTCCCTGCATAAATTAGCATGCATTGCAATCCTAAGGCTGAGTGAGGCTAGCCTTATTAACTCTCAACGGTTTTAGTTAGTCCAGACACCGTGAACGGGCTTGGGGATGGCTGGAAACTGAGACTTTGAACCTAAGAAATTGTTTAGATAAAGTTATTATAGATTAGGGAAGTTCTAGCAGGTCTTGGGTTAGTGAGTTTCCGCACCTCGATTCAAGTTTCAAGTCGCCTGACACCAATGAAGACATACGTAGTGAGTGCGAATATTGCCCCAGTTGTCGGGTGCCGAGGGGAACTTTTGTCACACCTGAAATTGAAGCATGCTGATTCGACTCATAGTCAACGGTCAAGATAGCCCGTGACTCACAATTCTTTGACTTGGTATAGACGATCTCGGAGTGATAACGGAGATAGAAGATATATGAGGTCTAGAGCTCCTCATGATCAGTATGGACTGTAGAGATTCGTACTCACGATAATCACCTCAATCAACTCAACTTACCCTAAACTTTCAACATGGAGTCCACAAAACCTTCGTCAATTGACTTTGTAACAGTCAAGACAACACTTCCCGTTTATCCACTTCCACCCAATCATGAACGAAGCACTTTTCGATCAGAACGTCTATCAATGCGTCATATGACTGAGGATGATTTCGGGTTTCTTCGAGCTCTTCGCACAGATCCAGATGGCATGAAATGGTCGTCGCAAGGAGGTCCCGATGTTGAGATGGAACAAACTGAAAAGAGCCTGAGTCTTCGCCTACCTCCAAAGGATGTCGAGAGGCACGATTGGGTCATCTCACTTATCGAGACTGGTGAGCCCATCGGATTAGGAGGCACCTGCGTATGGTCGAGTGAACTAGGCTGGCCCGCTCTGGGATATATCTTTCTGAAAGAGCATTGGGGCAAAGGCTATGCGTCTGAGTTTATGAAAGTCTACCTCGATAAGTGGTGGTCGCTGCCAAGGAACGAAGTTGAACTCACAGTGGACAAGAACACAGTTCTTGAAGAGGACGGCGATGTCAAACAGGAGTGCATCTCAGCCGTCACAATGAGCGAAAACGCCCCGAGTCAAAACGTCCTTAAAAAGGCTGGTTTCGAATTCGTGTCGTCGTGGATGGAAGCTGATACCAAAGACGAGTCTCAAGAACTGACCCTACATGGGTTTGTTGCTCGCAAGGGAAAGGTTGTCGTTTAGCCAAGCGAGGTCGACAACCGAATAAGGATATAACAGAGGCCCTTTGACCAATCGGCCTGATCCGAGAACGAGGGTCTTTGGTCAATAATGATGCGGGAAATGGACAAGGACGCGACCGGACATCTCAGGAAGTCCGTGAGAGTTTCCGGGTCCGGACGGGGTTCCACTTTTCGCCGATATATATGACGATGACTTCAGCAGCATCAACTTATTGTAGATTTTCAAGATAATTGAAATATTATACGAAGCTTAAATTAACCTGATTATATTCGAAATGCCCATCTCTATCCCCCTTCCTTCCCTCGTGGCCACTGCCACAGGCATCACTGGCTCAGCCTATGCATCTGGTAAGACTATAAAGTCAGATCATAAGACACTGACTAATAACCCCAGGTTTCATTGCCTCTCTTTCACTTGCTGGCATCCCTGCTGCTCTTCAACTATCAGGACCCCCCGGTGTTTCCGTTTGGCAGGTTCTCTTCAACCGTGGATTCGCTCTTATGCCCAAACTTGCTGGAACAACAGCAATCGCCTATTTGTACGCCGCCTATACAGCTCACCAGCAGGGCCGTAATTGGAAGGGGCTGGCTGCCAGTGCTGCTTTGACGGTCTCCATCCTTCCTTTCACCGTTATCTTCATGAGTTCAACAAACGACCTTTTGTTTAAGGCGTCTGCTGGAACCTTGGATGCTTCACAGGAGGACGTGGCTACGTTGATCGGGAGATGGGGAGTTTTGAACTTGGTCCGAAGTCTGCTTCCTCTTGCTGGAGCGGCTTTTGGTTTCTCAACTCTGTTCAGCGAAGAATGAAGACATCAGTTGAAGTTAAACCGTTATAGAGCCGAAAAAATTGAACCAAGCAACAGTGTAGCACTGAAGCAATCAGACATGTTGCAGTCATGACATTTGGCATAAATGAAGCCGCTGTATTTTTATGTATCCTCCAAAGGGAGAGGGCCTAGTGACGATAAAAGAGCACCAGAGTTTCACTCTCATATGCTAAAAGGTTTTGATAACGCTGCCTCGAAGTAACAATCGAGATAATTCCATCTAGATACTGCCCCCATTCGTTCGCTTTGAATCCCGCGGTTCCCTTCCCACAGAGCAACTGTCGCCAGACTCTTCCTTGATAGATGCCTCTAGCAGTTATCCCATGAAAATAGCCCAGAGAATTGATTCATTCCCAAAAAGTTCCCATTGCTGTCAAATAGTTCAAGGCTCATACCATCATAATTCCCTTAGTTCTCCTTCTCAAAATCCTTGATGAGCTTGTCGCATTTGCCCAGGTTCTTCTTAGGCTCCCAAGTGTTCTCCTTGTTGCCAAAACCCTTCCACTTGACCTGGTAGTAGAGTACCTTGGAATCAGCATCAACCTGCGAATCAATGATTTTCTCAACCTCCCATTCGGTAGTAGAATCGCCACGTGTAGCCTTCTTTCTGACAGGAGGACGTCCGGGGCTTCTCTTCGGCACTGCTTCAGTTTTGGTCACTTTGCTCTTGGCTGGAGGACGGCCACGACCTCTCTTTCCAGTAACGGGCTTCTCCTTCCCCACGCCAGAAGTATTCTCACCCTGAAGGCTAGAAGTGGATGCGACACGCTTAGAACGACGAGGTGGGACTGAACTGTTCACTTGCGAGCGACGCTGGTGCTTGGCTGGAGGGGCTACCTTTGCACCTGCGGCTTCTTCATCGCTCTCATCTTCCGGATAGAGAGCGCGCTTCTCAGGCTTAGAGTCCTGTTCAGATTTCGAAGAATCGAATTCCTCTTCGCAACTCTCATAGTCCACAAGGTCAGAAACAATTTTTGGTAGGAGCTCTTCTTCTTCTTCTTCTTCTTCTTCATCAACCCCCTCAATACTAGCACGAGGCCTAAGATTCTCATATAAGCATGTCAATTTGATAGAACGAAATAGGGTGCTCAAGAACTTACCCGTTGTGCTCCTCCAAAGGCGACTTATCGCGTGCATAGAAGACAGTGGGCACATATTTGGGAGGAGGCATCTTGCTGGAGAGTGAAAGAGAAGTGAAAGGATTTGTCGTTGCGACGATCAGGTCTTCTCTAGAATTCAGGTCCTTGTGTGAGTTTGCTCGTTGTAGGAAAATCGTGTTGCGGATGGTGTTGCGCGACTCTGACCTGAACCTTTCATTAAATCATCAAAGGTTTAAAATAAGGGTGGGATAAGATTTACCTGTGCTCGTAAATATAGCACCTGACTGACTTGCACGGTGCAAAAAAAAAGGTGAAGAGCGGATTTTTGAGAAAAGAACATAAACAAATAACCCGAGGCGTTGGCAGTGGCGGCAGCTGCTAAGAGCCGAAGCGGTAGAGGATGTGCGATATGGAAGATCGTAGGTAGGGGAAGGGTGTTTGAAGGTGGGAGAGATAATGTAGGTACTTCTTCTGGGTTGTTGAACGAGTTAATTTGGAAAACGGGAGCGTCTGTGGAGGACTTGTTAATATTGGACGCAAGTCAGTGATCAGTGAATATACTACATTGGAGAAGGAACAATGACTACCTTATCAACCACTTCGTTAAATACGTTAGTCATACTCTCTGTTACAATACAACTGATCGTTTGTTAATGAAGACCACTACACTAACGTATGTATCTACGCTTTCTTTTGTTCCCGCCAATCTGCAAGGTTCCGCTTGACATGAGATCACAGCCGAATGACCAAAGCGCCAGACTTCAACATGCTAATAATGAGAGGCGAAAGCGACTGGAATTTACTACTCAATCTCTTCCACCTCATCATCTTTGAGTTCTCTGTAACGACCCTCCCTCACGGCGGCCTCCACCGGGTTCTGAACGTCAATGATGCCTGTCTTTTTCAATCTGGATGCCTGTTAGCTCTGTGCAACAAGTGAGTAAATAGAAAGTGTGATCTTACCGTTCAAACAATACAAAGAGCCTTTCAGCCTCTCGTTCTTTCTCCTCCTCCGTCATCTCAGGCTCGTCAACTGGCTTCTCAGCATCGACAAATTGGCCAGTGATGGGGTTGACTGGCTTCTGCGCCTTAGCCGCATCGGCGCCGTGAGCCTCTGCGACGGAAGCTGGAATAGGGATGTTGTTTTGGAAAAGAAAGCCAGATGCAAAGCCGTAGCCAACGTTCTCGACAAATTTAGAGGCATCCTTATCAGACAGCTCGAAGAGCACATGCTGGATCAGGTTGCGCAGTGACGGGGCCATGGGGTTGTTGCTGTTTTGGAGTAATTTGGCCGGTAAGCTGTGTCCTTTGCCCAGAACATCCTTTCTCTCTTCCTCTGTCGGCAAGAGCTTTTCGCGAATGAAGGCCTTGCTAGATTCAGGCGCATGCTCGTATATCGATCTTACGAGACCAAGGACTGGCACAACCGAAGGATCCTTCTGCTCGTCGGGAATAGTTCGAATGGCGACATCTAGGATGTCAATCACCCTAGATACTACCCTCTCGGGATCGCTCTTGGGGTGAAGAGCCTCCTGGCTCTCTGGGGTACTTAGGTCAAGATTGAGGAAACCGTTGATGATGAATCCGACTGGAGGGTCAAGCGGCTTCGTTTGGGAAACATCAGCCTTGAACAGTACAGCTATTAAATGAGGGACTGCAGGATTGAACAACGAGGCTTTCTCTTTACACCAGTGTGTAACGTTGAACAAGAGCTTTACGGTTTCGGTGAGCGCCATGTCTTGCATGGGGTCAGTCTTGGCCTTGGTATCCATTTCCTTTGCATGCTTTGCTAGGTTGTTGATAATGCGATCGGCCAGTTTCTCGTTATCGAGGAGCTCCTTCAGGTCGATCTTTGTTTCATATGTAGTAAGGAATAAGATACGAGAGTTGAGAAATTCATCATCATAATTCCCAGTGTCTAGTTCTTTGATGGCTTTGGGAGCAAAACCCTTGTCGACAAACATATGCCGCGTAGGAGGGACAAGGAGCATCAAATTAGCTATAACCTTCAATGCAGCCCGGGCTGATTTGGTAGATGGTTTATCATAGGCATGGCGGAGGAGCATAGTGAAGCCCTGACAACAGTTAGCAATACTTCAAGACCATTCAGCCCTCATTACGAGGACAGGGGGTGCACTGACTGCTTCCGAGTAGAGAGGTTCGGCATTCCTAGGGTCTCGACTGTATAATTTAAGCTGTTCTAGAGCTGTGGCGCGGTCTGTCTATAGCATTAGGAAATGATGTATTAATATCCTTTTCAGTCAGGAGACTCACCGTCTGGAAGAAACTGATCTTCTTGGAGATCTGCGGTGAGGGCTTCGACCAGTTCCGTGACATTTTTGAGCTTCTGAGCCCCTGTGGGTATGCCAAAAGGTTCCTGAGCGGCCATGATGATTCGAGGATGAGTGGAGAGGGGGATGTTGATGGTAGGTGTGATGGTTTAAGATGAGCGGGGAGAAGATGATAGAAACTGGACATCAGCCACTAACAAAACGTGTTATTGCATTTTAAGACGGAGTACTATAGGTAATTTTGGGAAATTTGACATGTGTTCAGAGCGAAACAGGACATCATGTTTGCTCTCTCACTTCTACTTATGTAACTTTTGAACTTTATTAATGAGAAGGCCAAGATTGAGGTGAGGTCCAAGCCGTAGCTCTCTCTCGACCTGTTCTGGCATGTGCTTCACTGACACAACAGGGTCCAATGTAGGTACCTAGAACTTTATCGATAGCGCCTCCAGCTGATCTGTAGTGGGAACACGTAAAGTTTCGCTTACCTCAGCCATGAAAGACACCTTAGGCGACAGACAGGGGCCGATTCTGGGGCGTCAGACGCGCACGGTCCCTGAATCTTTAATTGATTCGCGGTTGCTCATCTAAAAATCGCGTTCGCTTCGCGCGTTGGCCCGGAGAATTGCAGCGCGGATCGGTCAAGCATTTACTTACGGATACTCCAGGCTCAGGTAGTTACTCAAAAGTCCTCAACGCTACGCAATATCACCAGCTCTAACTTACACCGACTCATTCGTTCTCTTTGTGATTATATACAAATGGTTGCAATTTTTTAGTCGCAGCAAAATTCACTGTTCCAATCTTAATCTCCTTAATATTCGCATGCGTTTTTAGTGGTTTCTCGGCCAATTCACTGCTGTCTAGATCGCCAACGCTGCCTGGCAGCCATGGCATCTTCAGCCAAGGCCACCACCCTCGACGAACTTTCTCCTCGACCGCCAACACCTCCTCGAGAATCTTTCCCAGATAAAATAGCTCCTATGAAGGCTTCAGTCGGTCGTCCCATCGACCCAAGACTGAGTCTCCAGACACCACCAGGCGCTAATACACCATCGTCGAACGGGGCAACCAACACCAATTCAAGCTCGAGGCGGATAAGGAAGAAGGTTGAATGGTCAAGCCATACAGAATATCGAGAAGCGTCCAAGTTCTTCAGATCGTCACCGATTACGACGCCCTCTGCTTCGTCGAGGCCCGTTAAGGGTATCCTCAAGCCGTCACCGTCTCCCAACCCTCTTGCTTCACCTCTTAATGGCCATCCCAACGGCCTATCAAGCCAGATTAGTATCGCCGAAATGTTGGACTCGACAATAAAACAGCTCGCTGGTTCCGACCGGGACTCGCGACTCGATGCATATATGATGCTCTCTCGTGCTCTTAAGGCTTCCAACAACCTACCAGACCGGGTTGCCCTACAAGACAAGATGAGCCTATTCATGTCCTTTATCGAACGCGATGTCAAATCCAAAAGGGACGAAGGGTCTCCCGACTCTTCTCTTATATTCCAAGCCCTCAGTCTTCTAACGACCTTTTTGCATTTTCCAGCCATTGCTTCTTCTCTCACATCCGACTTCGGCGTCTTCATAATCGACCATTGCATTCGATGCTTCTCCGACCCAGCACTCTCGAAAGACCTGGCACGTCACCTTATGCAAGTCGTTGCTTTCCAGTCCTTCTCCTCAAAAGTCATGTCTTCGGATCGAGTCGGTCGGTTAGTCACATCGTTGCACAACATCGAGGATCATTTGACTGGCAAAAGTATCATCATGGGCCGTATCCAGATTTACAAGCGTCTTGTGAAGCAATCTCGAAACCATATGGCTGTCCACACGGCCTGGTTAGAGGATTTGTTCAACGATATGCTCACCCCGATTCGAGACATTCGAGCGCAAGCAATTCTCTTGGGCACGGAAGCTGGCTTTGCGCTACGAAATGAGAAGCCTGTGATGCGCAAGGTGACTGAGATTCTGCAATCAACGGCGGACAAACAAATCTACATACAGTATTACATCCAGCGACTCGACACCATGCTCAAAGAGAAGCAACTTTTGTCGACTGTTCCACAGATATGGGGTGCCGTGACCCTTTTCCTGCAGTGCCCTCTCAGCCGATGGCAACACTTTGCTCCATGGTTCAAGATTGCGCAGGACTCGTTCAACTGTACCGATTTGCAGACCAAGCAGGAAGCCAACTACGCCTGGAATCGCTATGTCTATCTTTCAATCACCAGCAACAAATTGCCCCCCAAGTCTCTGGGTATAATGGCACAGCCCCTGGCGAGCCAACTCCGGCGCAAATTCAATTCGAAACAGCCAGAGGAAGCCATGAAGCTTCGCAGAACAGTGATGGGTGGTATTTGCAACCTGTGTTACTATGCCTTCCGACCTAGTCAAGATGTCACATGGATCGACGCTGCCTGGGATTCTATCCTTGCACCTATTACGCAACAACTAGTTCATGTCGATGCGCAACTCGAGTTTTCTGCTGATTCCGTAACGCAAGCGACCCGAATTGTGACCGGACTCCTCGACGTTTCGACTCCAAGAAGCTGGAAAGACGAAAGGATCAGGGATGTTGCTCCTATAAGCCCTGAGGAGCTGCCTTCAATCGACTCAAGATGGGCTCGCCGGAATTCTGAGAAGATCTTTGGCCTTGTTGGGCCAATTCTGGAGAAGAAATTCAACGACTTGGCTAATACCGAAAGTTTAGCCTATAGACTATGGCAAGCTTTCGTTGGTTCTATTGCTGTCGCCTCGGCAAAGGATATCAAGGTGACC